TTATATGAATCGTGGAAACTTTTTAAAATGTATCTCCTCCAATGGCCATGGCAGAGATGTATTAATTCGTAAGTAAGAATCTCCTGAAAAAGAATATTAATAAAAAACGAAATCTTTCGCTTGTGAAGTAAGCCCCCGAAGTTGAGTTTCAAGGTGAATAAATTTTTGAACAAAGGTTCTGATATTCGTTGCCAGTAGATACTGAAAATCTGTAATGCGCACGTAACGTATACTATAAATTTCCAGTATTGGCAGTGAACACAAAATTGTATTATTCAAGATACATAAGATGCATTTATTTTTTACGCTTACGCATTTTAAGCACTGATAAGCATCGCTTACACCATTTTTCCCATTATAAGTGCTTAGAAAAAGGCAGAGAACACGTCATCGTGACGTCATAGATAATAGATACTGCTCACAAACTGCTTCGTCCATCGAGGTAAGACAACAAAAACGTGAATATTTACAAACGCTTATGGCCAAAAGTAAATGCAATGAACGAACCTAAGAATAAAAAATGGTTAGTAAACGTGTTATACATATAACATGCACATTTTTTCTATAAGGATCATAATCCTCTTCGTTATCATCCATTGACAAAAGAGTTGACACTTGTCCAAATAATATTGGAATAAATTCTTTTTTATTCTTTATACTTATAATCGCTTAAAACTCCATACAGCACAAAAATTTATAGTATCATTGCAGAAACGTTACAACATTGCAGTTGCGCTATAATATCGCTGCAATATTTTAGATATCAGGAATTGTAATATATCTATAATACATATATGACTGCGCAAGATTTTACTAATCTTGCAGCATTGTTACAGAGACATTAAAAACATTTTGATTTTTCAGTAATGAATTGTTGTCACATATGGAAACATATATCAATTACACATCATATGATTGTTAATTATTTCCATTAATTTAAAAATTATAATGTTCGTAAAATACATAGTTGTTTTAAAAAAATATGCATGCAAAATGGATGATTTTTTATATACCTGTGTATTTTCTTTCCATCAACTGATTCATCTTATCATTCTGTTCATAAAAGTATTAAGGTACGATTATCAAAAAGTTAATAGTTTACGAGTTAACATTTTATGTCAATATATGCCAGAATAAAGAGTAAAATATCTCGTAAATTATTGATTTTTTGATATCACTAATCTTAATACTTTTATATGCAGTATAATTAGAAGAATCATACTGTGTAAAAAAAACCGTACAATTCCATTTAAAAAAGTGAAAGTGATTTTTATATCTTTTTGACGCCTTCATCTAAAAAAAAAAAACTAAAATACGTCTCCCTCGACAAATAGTTTTTTTATTATTATTGAATATAATTTGTGATATAAATAAAAAAAATGCAGAAAAAGAACTAATTAATATATATTTTATATTATATATAATTTTATACATAATTTTATATAATTATTTCCACATTTTTATTTGAACAATTTTTTTATATCATCAAAAATAAACGAGATATTTCAGATAGATGATTTAAGTAGACCACTCTGAATATACGTACATATAAAATATATATTGATTAGTTCTTTTTCTACATTTTTTTTTATTTATATCACAAATTATATTTTAAATTGTATTCAATAATAATTAAAGAACTATTTTTAATAGTAGTTGCAAAAAAATACATTACATTCCTACATTGCTACGACATTACAGCGCAATCTTGCTGAAGGCGGATATTTTTATGATGCTATGACAATATTGCAACAATGGCTTAGTTTTCACCGAGGGTTTAAATCAGATCAGAATGTAAGAACCAACCAACTACAGTCGAGTATTCCCTGTTACAGTCGAACGACAGGGGAATACTTGATTGTAGTTGGTTGGTTCTTACATTTTGATCCGGTTTAAATCCTCGGAAGAAACTAGGCCAATGTTGCAAATACATTATCCCTCTATTTGTGTATTTGCAATCTATTTGCAATATTATAACATTGCAATGAGATATATCTGCAATCATTTTACAATCTTTCTGTGCTGTATAGGAAGCAAAAAGTAAATGACTTTGCTTCATGTCATACCATAAGAGCGTTTACAGCGCATGAAAAATGAAAATAAACAGTTAAAAATGGCGCTTATAAGCATGAGTGCTTAAAATGCGTGAACGTAAAAAAATAAATGCACCCGTAAAGTATGTCTTTAATGTGTTGAGTGACATATTATCTGCGCTTGTCAATGACTGTGTTCAACAGAAAAACTTCATTAGTTAGTGCTTGGTGTAGTTATATTCTTTAATATGATTGGTTCTTACCTTTAGCTCTTCGTTGGATCTAATTGGTTTCAATTAAAAAATTACTAAGCGCTGATTAGCTTTCTGTACTGAACGCAGCCAATATCGTTATCGCTTATCTATTTTCTTCATATGACGTAATGTGTCGTAATTGTGTAAATGTAAAAAAATGGCATCTCTACGCAACCGAGATGCCATTTTTTTATTCTATAAAAAAGCTACAGAGTTTAGAAAGGAGAGCATTCTAGAAATTCGAGCGCATATATAAGGCCATATATATTCCGATGTGCACTGCCAGTATTGAAAATCTATAGTATATGTAATGTGTACTATAGATTTTCAGTACTCGCAGTACATAACAGAATACAGCCATAATGTTGCTATTCTTCTTTCCGATGACGACCGTGTGAATCGCGTTGCTTCTGTTCCATTCGTCGTTTTCGCTTTCTGCGGGCCGAGTCTGCAATAGGAAAGGAAACTCCCTAAACAAAATTATATTGCAACAACGTTTTTGTAACGTTGTGTTATAACCGATTGCTATTTTTGTTTCATAAAATCGATTCTACATTAATTGCAAGCCGATCGCAAATTTGTTGATCGCAAAGGATCTTCTACATAGAAGTCGTAGACGGTCGTGGAGTGTTAAGTCGTAGGAAACCACAATCAATCACAATCAAATATAAGGAGAACACTCGATTAGAATTGGTCAGTTTCCTATGACTTAAGATTCCACAATCTTCTACGACTTTTATGTAGAGGACTCTACAGACACATTCTAAAGAGTTTCATTAATTAACAAACAAAATGCTGCAAATTGCCGCCATTTTGACTCTATGACGCGCGATTATTCAAAACTTCAGCCTCTTTCGCTGTTTTTTGCAATTTTCAACACAGCAATCGGGCATTTTATATAATAACAGAACCATGTTCTTTTTCTTCTTCTAGACTCTTGTATGAATTTCCGACTTTTTAACAGAATCAGATCAGAATAGCACTTCGATACTATATTTTGACTCCAAATGCTAATTCAATGAATTTTCTCATCGCTGTATTTTGTTAATCTAGTGACTTTACACGTTTAACAACAGTCGCTCGTTTCACGGATAACGCATGCATTGCAACGAGGAAATCCCCACAGTCGAAAAGTCCCTAGCATGTCGATCGGCGCGCGCCGGCGGTTACGCACTTATCATCAGCTACGTTCAAGCGACTTCTCACCGATTGGTCGCGGTCGTCGCGGATGCGGCGACCAATCAGAAGGCGCACGCGTGCGATCGTGCGGCACGTTTGCACGCGGTGTGGCGCGGCGCGCCGTCGAACTGTGTGCTGCAGGAGCGTGTGTGTCGCGCGAGGCGAGCGCGTATTCACGCTGCGGTTATACGTATGTACGCATCTTCGTGCCGCCGTTGCCCGCCGTCGACGTCGGCGTTGCCCCGGTACGCCGCTTTGGAGCGTAGCAACGGCCGCGCGCCGCGGATCCCGGGTGTGCGCCGCGGGGCCGCGTGCTATCACCGTCTACGATATTCGCGTGTGCGCGAGGAGCTAGCAACAGCTCGTCGCGGCCAGTGACAACATTTATTTTCGATACGATCGTGAAGGGACAGTGGGAGAGCGAGAGAAACACAGAGAGAGAGAGAGAGAGAGAGAGAGAGAGAGAGAGAGGACGGGAAGGAGCAAGAGAGAGACGAAGAAGCCTCCGCGAACTGCTGCAACGCAACCCGCGAGGTGTCCGCGAGTGCACGCACGTCCAGGACAGCTAGCGTGAGCAGGTAAAATGGACTGGGGAAAAGTCGTTTACTTGCAGGAGGAATGGCAGTTTCGCATTCAGTCATGAGATTATGTGTAACCGCGCCATAATTGCACGGGTCTTTTAACGGGCGAGAATGATGAGTGAGTGTGAACGAGCGAGCGAATGAAAAAAAAGGAGAACGACGAGGAAGGAGTGATTGTGAAGGAAAGAGAGAGAGAGAGAGAGAAAGAGAGCGAGAGAGAGTGAGGAAGCTCGATGGGTAAAACGAAGCGAGAACGAACGCAGCAGCTTGGGGAGTAGCTTGAAGGGGGGAAGGGAGAGGCAGGGGGGAGAGTCTCTCCGTCAAAATGTCGCTGAAAACGCCAACGCGAATACAGTGATGTTGCTACTCGCCTAACTCGGATTACGTCGTCTCCCTTCGAACCCTCGAGCTTCACTCTCTTTCTCTCCCCTTCTCGCTCTTCCCCCTAAACTCCCCTTTCCCTCTCTCTATCTCCCGATCTCGTTCTCGACGAGAGCCAGGCGGCTCTATGGTCTTGTAACGAAGAGAAAGAGAAGATCGCGGGTGCATCGATTACTCGCGCGCACAGGTCACCCGGTTTGTTTCCCCACATTTGTTTCTCTACGCGCGTCGTCGTTCGCGTCTCATCTTCGGCGGCGGGATATCTCTCCCCCCCTTATCCTTCCCCTCCTCCCTCCCTTCCGCCACCGTTGCCCGTTTCCTCGGGTTCCCTTACAAGGGCGACGGGTTCCGCGGGAGGCACCTCGATGGTGAAGCCTCGCGCTTCCCGATATCACACTCCAGGTATACTGTTGACGGTGGCGGAAGGCCAGCTTCCTTCACTTCCACGATAGAGTAGACAGTATGTACCTTCTGCATTCACGGTGAAATCGGCCTCGTCACACTCGACACCTAACTTGACTCCAACCTTTTGTTCGCGCTACGCGCCTCTGT